TATAATTCTATTTTACATAAATAAAAAATTAACTATAATGGTGCATTGTTTCATCCTATAGAAATTGATAAAGTGTGCACTAAAATAAAACCAAAAAAAAAGAACTTATTATCAAATGTACCCAAAAAAAAAAAAAAATAGTATCACCTCTACCCAATGTCAAATGAGAAAACCTAATGGCATATAAGAAAGTATCCATGACATAAAAATGGTGCACCTGCATCAACCGTCTGATAACTGGTGATTTGAAGATCATCCTCGATGCAACAGCCTGTGTGATGTTGGATTTCCCCCAATCAAACCACACGGTCTTTATCATTCTTGTCATCATCTTTAAGATCAAGCGAATACAGCACGTCCTCCTTGCTCCATCCCGCACGCAATAACACAAGGGACAAAACCCTCACGTGCCATACCACACCTCCTCTAGTTCTCACCCATTGGGCCCCGCATTTTGCGTTATCTCCGCCGTCCATCATCATCATCTCCCTGACCTCCTCCTCCCTCCACCCTCCGCTCTTCAACCTCCAAAATACCTCCTCCAAACAACCCTCTAAATCCAAGTGCCCGCCATCCTTCCACCAATCCCCCGCCCTCCTCCACCTCTCCGCCACCTCCGTCCAGAACTCAACCCTCCGTGCCGAGGTTGCCGCCCACGCGGGCATATTGACGTTATTTTTCTTTCTCGGAAAAGGGGCCTTCAGAACACCGCCGACTTGCACGAACTCAACCTCTTGAAAAAACCTTGTAACATCAAAACTCAAGATCCTAACATCATCACTGTCAATATAAAAAACCGGGTTTCCCGCCATATTCGGCAACGAAGGGATATAACAGTTTTTATAAATTGGTACAAGAACCGGCGCCTTTTGGGATAATTGTTTGACCAAAGAGAAAGCGTCGGTATTACTCTCCGGTTTTGGGCCCCAGGAATCGCACCAGAATTCCCGGAGAGAGATGTTCTTGGAGAGGGACAAGAAAGGTAGATTGAGGAGAATCTGGAGCTGCTGTGGAGACGAAGAGCGCCAGTTGGGGAAAGAGGGACCAACGGGGAGGCCTTCCTGGAGGATGGAGCGAAGGTCGGGAGGGAAAGTGAAGTGAAAGGTGGATTCAATGGAAGCGAATTCTCGATCGGTGAGGCCTGGGAGGATCGGAATGTCGAGAGACTTGAGGTAGGCGATGAGGGTCTTGGCGTAGGCGGCGAAGGAGAAGCAGACGAATTTTGGTTTTGGGGGTGCTGCCATGGTCTACACCCTGTGGTATGGTGTCATTGTTACAACCATATTGGGAAATAACCAAATGGAGATATATGGGGATATTGTTTTGGAAATGAATAACAAGTTTAGGCCTCAATTGACAATGTCTTGTGTAAATTTTTTTCATTTATAATTTTTAATAAATCTTTTTTTAAAATATTTTTATTAATTTTAATTAATTTATATATATTTCTACAATAAAAAACAAAATAATTTACAACTACAATCACAATACAAAGCTAACAAACAAAACTTACAATTCCTTAAAAAGTGTTTGGGTCCATTAGAAGTTTCGTAAAAAGGAGGGAGAGTTTGACTATGGAGGTTATCGGATTTTTTTTTTTCTTTTTTTTTGGTGCTTATGAGCTGCTTTTATGTATTGCCATTTGCTTGTAATGCTTGATTATTTTCACTCAATCAAATTCTCTAAATTAATTGGGATTCGCATGGTTGGACAGCTGGACAATCTTGTGCACGGTCAAGCAGGAGCCATTATCCTCACTAACAAAATTCTATTGATGTTTCGTAAAGCAAATACATTAATTTTTTGATTGAATGATGGGTTAGGGAATTAATGATAATACAATATATCGGATGTAGATTTAATGTATAATAGTAGTAGATTTTAGAGAGAAAATGGGAACCAGCTTAGGTGATGGAACTCATGGGGGGGAGATTTCAACCTTCTTTCCAATCAAACAACCAAGTAATTTGACTTTGATTTCCCTCAGTCATACAAATGTCCTTATTTCTACCTACTAACAAAGAACGGTTTAATAGTCGCTTTAATACAGAATGATTAAAATATCATTCCATTATCATATAAGGGCCAGCAAGAAATGGTCTCACCAGGAAGAGACACACTTTCCATTCGTGTCTCTTTCTTTTTATCTTTGATAGATGGATGGTTTCCATTCATTTTCTACGTTACTGAAAATGACACGAATGCGGGTATACATTGTGCTGCAAAATTCATTTCAATTCCCCTCCTTACTGGACTTTTATGGAAGGATAGGCCACATGGACATTACGATTTTCCAAGTTAAAAGGTTGTGTTTGAAATTACTATAAAATACTGTGATTATAAGATTTTTAATATTTTATTATAAAAAAATTATATTATTATTTAATAATCATTTTTAAAAAATATTAGATATATTGATATAATCATGAAATCATATAAAATATTAATTAAAATTAATTTAATTATAATAAATTAATATTTTTTATGATGGGTCATGTGAAAACGCATTGTAAAAAAGCAATCTCAAGTGTGAACAAGAATTTATGAAATTATAGGGAATTCAAATAAGGATGGCAATTTCTCTTAACTCCAAAATGCCTCGTGAGTAAGGACAGAAAAAAATATTCCTCCTCACAAGAAGTGTTTTTTTCTTGTGAAATTTTGCCAGTATTATGCCCATCTTGTGGGAGTCCTTGCTTCTTATGAAGTATTAAAAAATAATTAAATTTAATTAAATTTAAATATTTAACTCATAATTATAAATTATATATCTTTTTACTTATTCTCAATTTTAACTCAATACTAAAGTTACCTTACTTTAAACTAAATCCAACCTGACTTTTTTTTTTTTTTACTTTAACTCTTTAAAACATTTTGTTCAAAAGACCTGACATTTTTTTTTTACTTTAACCCTTTAAAACATTTTGTTTAAAAGAATAAAATAAAAATTGTTAAATTAAATTTATAATATTGATTGGCAGAAGGCAGAGCAACCCTACAGGTAATAAGAACAGGCCAAACTCTACCCCCATCAAAAATCCTCACGGGGTAAGGAGGTGCTCCCTAACTTTGTAGGCCCTTTGCTATCCCTAGTGCCATCAAAATTCATCTCAATTGCCGACTTAATTAGTTCATGTTCATGACCATGACTGATTGGGGTTGAAAGATTTGGCACCATCAAATTCAATTTAACGTGCTGGAAACTCAGGGTATCGTACGCCTATTCTATTTTGGTAGGATCACTCTAATTGGGTGTTTACCGTTTACTTTTGGCATTCAAAGTTTGCAACTAAACTACCCAAGTCTTGTTGGATTGAGAACGTGGAAATTGGACCTACAGTTGTTTAAGAGTTTTGAGATCTAAGATTAAGTCAACCTAGAGATAAGTTTTCTCAAATATCTTTATATTAACCTTAATATTTGAAAGATTTTGAGTTATAAATTGTTAAAAGAATAATAATTTATTTATATAATTTTTATTTATAATTTTTATATATCATTAGTTAAATAGAAGTAATTATTAAATATTATATAATTTACTTTTTAATATTTTAAAGGTTAGCTTCTCATCATGGTAAATATTTAAACCCTTAATGTTGACT